TATTACACAATATGTATTTGTTATATCAAATGTGTTGGCATGTAGCCAAATTGTGATTTACATATGCTCTGGTCGGTTTTTGTAATGGGTTGAATATACTTATGTAAATTATTAACTTTATTTTAATGAAAGTTTGAATTTTCATGATTTTTATAAGTTTTAAAAGTTTTGAATAGTCAATGTGACACCTCGGATTCGTATCCGGGTTGGGTACGGGTTGGGGGTGTTACAGATTTGACCATATTCATGTAGCATATAAGTTTACGAGTAATCATAATGATGATACGCTTGACACCAGCTCCAATAGCCATTATGAAACCTCTTGATTAAGATTGAGAGGCAGGATGGAACCACCTCATCCTCATTCATTTTTCTTCTACTTCTCAATGGAGACCGAAAATTTTGGCACTAACCAAAGCCTGATCTATTACCGATTAAGACTCTCTACCAAACTAAAAGGGGTAAATTGTCTAGAGCCATTGAAACCCAATTGTTTCAATCAATATAACATATGGTATTTATATTTTTTTTAGAATTTTTAATAATATTTCTTTTACTTTTAGTATTTTATATTTCACTTTTAATTTTTTAACAATTTTTATATTTTTTATTTCAAATTTAAATGTTTTCTTAATTTTTATTTTTAAAAAAATTAAATAAACCTTCAAATTCGACCAAAAAATTAATTAAGTCCTCAAACTCGATCAAAATTTTTTATTAAATCTTTTTATCATGTTATCATCTACTATGGACTTTCACATAAACACTGTAGACCACTATATCAATATCGTGAATTAACACGTTAACATCAAATGATTAACATTTGGTCTCATTTTAAGTTTAAAATTGCATTAAATACAAAATAAGTTCATAAAAACATTAAATTTTTTGGGGGAAATTGATGATCTCAAATATTATTAAATCTATAATAACCAATCTTAAAATTTTCTGGGGAAAACCCACTCTTTAAAGGAATAATGCAAATGGACATCGTAGTTTTGTGTGTGCCTTTCATTTTATTTTGTTAGTTACAATAATGCAAATGGACATCCTAGTTTTACGATACCACCTAAAATTTAAATTTAAAAATTAATAGGAATCGAGTGTGATTGAAAAAGTTATAAAATTATAATATTTTAGGTTAGATTCAACTTAAAATGTTATATTCTTTATAACATTTGCAGTTGTAACTTAAAATGTTACATTTTTCATAATATTTTCAGTTGCCAAACGATTTTTACCTTTTTTGTAATATTTTAAATTGTAACAAAAAATATTACGAATAAGTTAATAATATTTTTAATTACATATATTATAAAATATTATATTTTTGATAATACTTTTTAATGACATCCAATTTTTATATTAGACAGACGTTTTTAGACTTTGGCAAATGGCAAGAGAGAGGCAGAGTGGTTTATATAGGTTTTTCTTACTTTCTTTAGGAGAACAACTCAAATTTGAATGCCACGCGGTTTTCAGAGGTATTGACTTTACTACAGTTGAGCTGACTTTTACCCCTGGTATAGGATTAAAGCTGGTCGGATGTTTATAATTTGCAATAATATTTTAATTTAAACGCGTATACTTATTTTAAACTTTTATTTTATTTTTAATATTTTAATTAAATGTGAATTTGTTTTAAATGATATTAAATTTATAAATTTAATAACTTCAAATTTTAAAAGTAAGTCAAGTCATATATTTAAGTATCATATCTAAATTTATTATCTAAATCAGATATTACTTACGTTTATTATGAGTATGTGAATGATAGTGAGTCAAATATCTATAATTTTTTAATCATTTAAATTTGAATTCATTAATTTATTTAAATATTTAAATATATTTTTATTTATAAATTATCAAAGTATTATTATATATATCTATATATATTAAACAGTATTATCCTCTAGATATTTGAATATAAAAAAAATCTAATTTAAAATTTTAAACCATATGTAAAATATATGAATCCATTAAAAGGTGAATGGTCAATATTTGAATTCTTATATAAGTAAATATATTATTTATTATATAATCCATATGAGATTTAAATATCTGAATATGCTATTCGTATAAACAACGTATATTCAAATAATTGATATATGAAAATATCTATTGCTATTTAAATGATGAACATTCTTTAAAAAGTTTAATGTCTCGTCTAATCGTACCAATTCATAATTAACAATAATATATCAATTCATATTTAAATATATTTTTATTTATAAATTATCAAAGTATTATTATATATATTAAATATTATTATCTGTTGAGTTAATCGATAGACGAATCGACCAAGAGGGGTGAATTGACAATAAAAATTTTGGTGGAAGCTTTTGCAGAAAATTGAAAATATTTGCACAGCGATTTAGAGTGGTTCGACTTTCTCAACCAAAGTCTACGTCCACTACCTTAATTATCCACACTAAGGATTTTCCAACAAATTCACTAATTTGTTCTTTCTTTTCAGGACAAAGAGTAAACTTACAACTCCCTCAAGAATTATACCCCAAATTCTTGATCACACTCTTTTTCAAAGAGAAATACACAAATTTCGTAAACTTACAAGAAAAATAGTGTTCTTGAAAGCAAAATGAATATTGAATGAAAAATAAGCTTGAAATGCTCAAACTTGAGGTTTGATGTTTTCTCTTTGATTCTCTTTATTCTCTTATTGATTGTTGTTTCTTTCTATTGATCAATGGCTCCTAAGCTTGTTTAAATACTCCTCCGATCACTTCTGAACGTTGGGGATCATTAGTGGAGTCAATCGAGCCGTTAGTGTGTGAAAACAATTAATAAAACAGTTGGGAGTGTTTGGTGCATCGATGCATAGGCAGTGTGCATCGGTACACTATGTGTAAAATTCAAATATTTCGACCGTTGGAAGACTTAGTGCATCGGTACACTAGGGGTGCATCGATGCATAAAATACATTCGATGTTTCAAACAAGTCTGGAGTGCATCGATGCATGGTCTGTGCATCGGTACACAAAATGCATTCGATGTTCAAAATATTCAGGAGTGCATCGATGCATGCCTTGTGCATCGATACACAAAATGCATTCGAAATGGGTGTGCATCAATGTAGTGCATTGGTACATCACTTTGTAAAATTGATTTTTGTCTCGTTTTTTGTTCGAAATACTTTGTGAAAAATTGTTTCAAAATTATTTTAAGTATAAAACACAATTTTACACTTTAGTAAGGATTGAAATTAAACTTTGAAAGACTTGGAGTAATATTTTTATATTCGAATAATTGTATCGAATATACTTAAAAAATCATTTGTAAAATCTTAAAATTCATTTATCTTAATTTGTTATATCGAAACATCAAAATGTTTTCAACAATATCCTCTAGATATTTCTTATAATAGTATACAAGTAGCATCCCTTACTCCTTTCATCCCATAAAATTTATCTCTTTTGTATTTTAAAATTGTCTTACTCAAAATGTCATATTATAAAAGTCAACAAATAACAATATTTATATTTTTTTACCCTTATATATGTCATTCTTTTATATCTATCAAAATAAATTATCAAATCTATCAATTTATTTTTAGAGCATAATTTTGTTATTTCTCTCATTTTATATGACTTGACATCTAGTCAAAATCATCTCCTAAAATTATATGTTTAGTCAACATAAGATAAAATTAATAAGATAGAGAGTAATATATTTTAATAATTAAATATTTATATTAATTATTTTTATATAAAGTATTTATATGCATTTTTATATAAATTATCTCTATTCATTTTAAATATGCTAAAAATCCAAATTATACATATATTTTTCAAAATCACAACAATACCAAATTATATATCTACACTATCTATTACTAGTAGCGGCGTAGCCTGAGACTAATAGGGACCTCGATACTCACCGCTTAAATCAGGGAGGAACCGAGAGAGTCGAGAGCCGATCTTCTTTCTAAAAATTTTAAACATTTTTTATTTATAGTTTATTTTCGTTCCTTTAAAATATTATAAGTTTACGTCCTAATATAAAATTATGTGTTTATCTTTAGAGTGTTCAGTAAATTGTTCGTGAACCGTTCATAAAATATTTGTTTATGTTTGTTTATTAAGCTAAATAAACTATTATGAACAAAATTTTATGTATATCTAATAAAGGAGCCAAAAAAATCAGAGTTGTGTTCGGTTTATTTATGTTCATGGGCAAACACGATTGAAAACTCATTTATTGGCTCATTTATCGACTCGTTTATAACCTCATTTACTCGATTCTCCTTTTCCTTTAATTTTTTACATTTTAAATATTGGTGGTAGGGACTAAATTAAACATAAGATAAGCTTTGGAGCTCAAACTGTGAAACCTAAGAAGCTTAAGGACTAGTAACGTAGTTTTACCATTTCTAAACATTTAAACGAACATGCTTATTGTTGATTAACAAACATGTTGACAAATGCTAAACGAAAATATTTAAAAATAAATAAACAAACACGGATATAATATTAAAATTTTAAACAAACATGAATCGAACATGAACATCTTAAAAAATAAACAAACACAATTTTATTCATTTAAACTCAATTCATTTACCCTCCTACCTACGCATTCAGTTACAAGTAATAGAATAAGAATTGGGAGGTCTTTGCCTCAATCCTTTCAAAAATTTGTAAATCTATAATTTAATATTAACAATAAAATTACATATTTACTCAATTTTAACCCTCCTATAATTTCTATCTTCGCCCCTTGTCCATTGCTTGTCATCAATACTAATCGTACACATAAATAACACAAAAAAAATGGAAACCATCAATGAACGATCATAATATCGACGAGCTGTGATCGATTGCTATTTAAATCCACTCTCTCTCTCCTCTCTCTCTCTCTCTCCTGAGTTTAATGCAATTGCTGTCGCCTTTTTGACTCTTTGGAGTGAAGGGCCACCTTTTTCCCTCATTTTAAGTCACCATCCTCTCTGTCTTACACTTTAGTTTCTATATATGTAACACCTCCAGCATCAACATCCTTCGTCTTATACTCTTGTCTTAAAGCTCCCAACTTCATATCCCTAAAGGAAAACCAACTGCAGATTTTGAAGAGGAAAACAAGCTGATAATGGGAAGACAACCTTGTTGTGAGAAAGTTGGAGTTAAGAAAGGGCCATGGACTCCTGAAGAAGATATCATCTTGGTATCTTATATTCAAGAACATGGTCCTGGGAATTGGAGGGCTATTCCCACCAAAACAGGTTTTCTGCTACATTTGTTCAGGTATTTGTTGTTAAAGGAAATGGAATCATGTGATTATTAATCTTTTTCTCTTTTCCAGGGTTGCTTAGATGTAGCAAGAGCTGCAGACTTAGATGGACAAATTACTTGAGGCCTGGGATTAAAAGGGGTAACTTTACAGAAGATGAAGAGAAAATGATAATCCACCTCCAAGCTCTTTTAGGCAACAGGTAATTAACTAGTCTTTAATATATTGGTTTTGACAAAGAAGTGAAATAAATGGAGGGCATTTAATATTGCTGCAGATGGGCTGCAATAGCATCTTACCTTCCTCAAAGAACAGACAATGACATTAAAAACTATTGGAACACTCATTTGAAGAAGAAGCTCCAAGGCAATGAAGGTTATTCTAGAGATGGGCTTTCATCGTCATCAGCAGCAGCAGCAGCATACCAGATTTCTAGAGGTCAATGGGAGATGAAGTTGCAGACTGATATCCACATGGCTAAAAAAGCTTTATCTGATGCAATATCCCCAGCGAAATCAAGTGGTTCAGTTGAGTTTGAACCCTTCAACGGCCACACATCTTATGCGAAACAAAGTGGATATGCTTCGAGCACTGAAAACATAGCTAAGTTGTTGAAAGGGTGGATGAGAAGTCCCTTGAAAATGGCTGATTCTGCAGATTTTAGTGTAGAAGGGATTGATCCAGTGAAGGAAGAGAAGAACAATGAGGAAACGGCTGAGGGTTTTCAATCAGTTTTAGGGTTTGAATCTTTAGATTCTTCCATTTCTGATATCTCAGAATCTATGTCACCAGAGGCAAGCCTTTTACAAGACGAAAGTAAACCAAATCTTAATGCCCAAACTGAGCTTTCATTGCTCGAGGAATGGCTTTTTGATGAAGGCAAAGATTACAAACTTTGTGATTTGGCATTAGATGAAAACGTTAATTATTTCTAATGGGGAATTTGTTTGTTTTAATGGCTTCTTTGGGATACTACTTTTGATCTTGGTGTATAATGTTTTTTTTTGGGGTTTAAGCTTTGTTAAATAAAGAAATTATTAGTAGTCACCCCTTTAATAGTAGAACAAATTTAATGTATAAGTTATATCTCTGAGAAATTTATCGAGTAATGTTAGTAGTAAAAAGAATGTTGAGTACTCTAATTTAAATAAATGCATTTATAAAGTGTGTGTTCTCAATGATTAAAAAATATTATAAACAGATAACAAATTGCCTCAAACTAGAAAAATACATCTTTTATTGGAAAATAACCTTCCTAAGAAATTTAGCAATTTTTTTCTTGTCAAAATCTCTGAATAAAATAGTAAAAATTATTATAAACAAAATAATCAATTACTTTTGTTTAATACAATATTATTATTTATTATTAATAACCTGCTAATTAATTTTAAAAAGTGTCCTAAGAGCAGTAGGTAAAAATATCAAAATTGCTAAATAAAATGAATTAACAAGTCAATATTAATAGCAAGGGGTAATTTAATGAAGAAATAAAATATTGACTTACTTTCTTGTGAGGTGATGCATCCCATGACCCGTTGTTATTAAAAGAAAGTCAAGTAGTCAACTACCAATGTTTTGCATTTTCTTTTAATTGTATTATTAGAATTTAGGGTAAAGTAAACAAATGGTTTCCAATTATAGGATACTATTTTATTGAGTTTCCGACTATTAAAAGTTATAAAATGATTCTCATATCATAGGACATTGCTTTGTTGAGTCTCTCGATTATTAAAAGTTGCAAAATGGTCATCCAACTATTTATTATGTTCTAAACTCATCATTTTTCGATAGAAATTAACGATCGTCTGAATTGAACGTTAACATGTTGAGTGAGATATAATAGTCGTTTGAGATTATGTGATCATATTTTATCATCTCAATTAGTAGGTTAACATCCAGTTTAAACTTTTAACGAAAAATGACGACTTTAGAACATATGAATTATCATGTGACCATTTTGTAACTTTTAATAGTCGAGAATTCAAGAAGCAACGACTTATAGTTGACGTGCCATTTTGTAACTTTTAATAGTCGGAGGATTCAACAAAATAACACCCTATAGTCAAGGAATCATTTGTGTACTTCACCCTAGAATTTAATTGAAGTAATGGTAGCAATAATTAGCTAGGGTAGCTAAATCTTAATAATAAAAGGAAACATTTTTTTGCATATATGCATTGTCTTATCTTATTAAAATTGTTAGTTACAGCCCTAAATCTCAATAATAAAAAAATCAAACTTATTTATATTGTAATTATTTCTTTATTCCTCAATTGATAATTTCAAAGTTTAGTAAAAGAAATAAAACTTTTTTTATAGAATAAATAAAACTTATTGAAATGATATTTGTAAGTTAAAAAAGAATTAGAGTATACTATGATCTAACTTCAAATTAAAAAAAAAAGTCTATTTCAATATTATATGATTTTATCTAAAAAAATTTAACATCAATTTAGAATATAACGAATTATAAAAAGAGTTAAGTTTTTTTTTATCAAAAAATATATATATATTTTTTTAATATCATAATAAAACAATGACTATGAAATGCGATTTTACAACCCAAATGTCACAAGATCCTTACTGCTTCATATATTTTATGGAGATGAAATAAATTTTCAAGGGAGACATGAATTTGCAAGTGTCTTAGGGACTGGTCTTAAATGACAACATGTGAAGCCTTTTTGATTTCGTTGCCTTGCCTGTGGATAATCCTCAGCCTCCAATTGCAATCGTAAATAAATACCCACTGCAAATACCATTATCTCAAATCTTGTGGTGTTTCTCAAAATCAAATTGAAAGCTTGATTATGTAAAATAATATTTTAAATCAAATTATAATTATTTTATTACGGAAAAAAACCAATAAAAATATTGGATACTCTATCCCTGAACGCGAATATGAATCTTAGACGTCAAAGTCCTTCTTCATAAATATAAAATTATGTTTAAAAATATAAAGATATAAAATATATGAATTGGGGTTGTAATAGAAATGTTGGAATATTTGGTTGAATGGATGATTGTAGGCAAAGCAATTCTTGAAGACGAGTCATGTGATATCATGCATGAACTACAATGTCCAACTCATGCGATGCTGCATTTAAGTCCACCATGTGGAAATAATATGGACCTACCAGCTTTTGTACCATGGACAATAAAACCAAGTTTCCATGCATTTCAAACCAATCAATAATAATTGAGGTGAAACTTTGTCAATATAATATATTATCCGACATTAAATTTTGCCAATAGATTTTGATTGTTTGGATCCAATACTTTTAATATTGAAACACAAATCAAATTGAAATCGATATGCTCTTGCAATTCAGATGACAAAATCAATCAATTTACTTTCAATATTTATTGTTTTTTAATAAAATTAATAAATTCATGAACTATTATGCTATTGCAAATAAAAAATGAGGAAATTATAGCAATAGAAGCAATACTATGGCTGAATTTGGTTATTTTTTTCTCCAAAATAATTTTATTAAGGAGGAGAATAATATGCCATTAGAAAATGTCCACCTAATCATGAACGAACACATAATTTCATGTTAGTGAACGAATTTATAAAGTTTACAAAATTAAAAAAAATATTAATAAAAATATAAAAAAAATCTAAATTATATAAATTTAAAATTTAAACATTAACGAACACATAATTTTATGTTAGTAAACAAGTTTATAAAATTTAATAGTTTAAGAAAATTATTAATAAAAATATAAAAATATCTAATTAATAAAAATATCTAAGACAAATAAAATCTAGACCACCAAGCAATGAATTTGAAATTTAGATGGTTTGATTTGAAGGCAGCTCGACAGAGTAAATGATCATAATTTAAGGAGTATAATGGACATTGAAAATTAAAATATTTAATTGATTTTTAACGTAATTGAATTTAATATATTAATTTCAAAGTTGAAGTTCATCTTTTTTCATATAGACTTTTATTATCAATTAAAACTTATTAAAACAGTAATTTTAGTCTACACAACCAAAAACTAGATTTGAAATTATAATTATTTGTGAAGAAGAATTAATACCCTCGTAATATTCAAAGTTGGTACCATATTAAACACGTGTTGCCTTGAATTTAAAAAATTCCAGGTTTAAATTTAAACATTCAAATATGATCCCTCAAAAAAATTAATCGAGTAAAATTTACTTTAAAATGAATAATTTAAATACTTTTTAAAATTAAAATATTATGGTTCACTTATTTTTCATTGAGGATAACTGACAATATCGTAATCCAATGATTTTGACAAAAATCTCATAAATTTGTATGATATGAAAATATTGTCTTCATTTTGGATTTATCTCAAGATTCTTTAATCTCATCAAATTTCGTAGATTCAATTAGGGTGTAAATGAACATAGCTTGAACGAAAAAGATTATGTTCGTGTTACTGTTCGTTTGTTTATTCTTGAATGTGTTTATGTTCGGTTCGTGTTTGTTTAATTTTTTCGTATCGTGTTCGTTTATTTATTTTTAAAGGTGTCTGTTTTTCGTTTATTTAACGTTCGTTTAAATGTTTGTGAACACATTCGTTTAGTGTTCGTGGACATATTCGTTTAGTATTCGCGAACATGTTCATTTAGTGTTCGCGAACATGTTCGTTTAGAATAAAAAGAAAAAGATAGGGAAGGGAAAAGGTCCTTTTTATATTATAATAGGGAAAATGGTAATATTACACAAAAAGTGCTTAAACTTCTTAGGATTCATGGTTTAAACTCCAAATTTATCATATATTCAATTTAGTATGTAACTTCACTAATATTTAAAATATAAAAATAATAAATGAGTTTGGTCGTGAACATAAACGAAACCGAATACACCTCTGTTCGTGTTCGTTTGGTTATTAAATGAACATAAGAATTTTATTCATACTCGTTCATTTAGGTTAATATACAAACACATAAATGAACATCATGCGAACGGTTCACCGAACACTCTGTTCATTTACATCCCTAGATTCCATCATCAACATTAAAAAAACCCCATTTTTCTAAAAAAAATAAAAATAATTTAATATCATAACGATATTTACATTATTTAAATATCAAAATTAAATAGGACATAGATTATACTCATAATGCTAGAATATCATGGATTGAACACATCGAGCGCGCACCAATTCTCGAGTTTTTTTCCTTTAAATTATTTATTTTTTAAAATATTTTTCTTTCTTTTTTGAACTTTTCTTTACCTTTTTTATTATCATAATAACAATAATAATGAAAATTGTAATAGTAATATTAGGGACCTAATTGTCAGAATTAGAAAATATGAGGTGCGGAATAACAAAATATCACACAAAAAGAGACTAAATTGAATAGCAAAAAACGTGTGAATGTTAAAAGGAACAATTGCCCTCCTTGTCAAAACAATTATTTGGGCCTGAATTAGGGCTTGCTATCTAACATTAGGGGTGAGCATTTGATCGAGTTGAGTAAAAAAATCTCGAATTATTTGAGTCGACGAGTCATATTTTATAACTCGAAGTTGACTTGAAATTTTTTGGAGTTGAGTCTAGTTTAAGAAATTCGAGTCGAGTTGTTCGAGTTTCTATACAAATTTAATTGTAATTATTTATAGTATTATAGTACGAATTTATTCCAATTTTTCGACTTTCTCTAGTCATATAAGATATATATATATTTCTTCATATTCTTTTCACATTACAATGTTATTTAATATATCACACACAATTTAAAATTATAGAATATATTTTCAATATTATATTTCAAAGAAGGCGTTTTAAGGATAAAAGATTAATGGGAGTATAAATGATTCAAAGAATTGATGTGAAGAAAGAATTTGTAAACAATTGTAGTTAAAATACTAAATTGAGTAAAATGCTAAGTTAAATGATTAAATTAAAAAAAGAGTATATTTTTAGTAAAAAAATAAGAATTGAAGTTACATATATATTCTACAGTGGTAAGGGAGCATGTGGTTTAAATTTAGTTAAAAATGTATTTAAAATGAATGTTGAATTGAAAAAAATACGGAAATCATGAAAAA